TCTCTTGAACATATTTAAAAAGTACAATTGTCGAATGACAAAAACGGTCAAAAACTTGGTGGTAACATTTATATGTACACTGAAAATACCCACCAACCTTTAATTTCTACTTTAGAATAGTGAAACGATAAAACAAATTCATAGGTTCACAATTTAACACACCAACTATTAATTACCAATTATATCTACAACCCCAAATACATTTCAGTGCAGAGCAATTAACGCTTCACAAAATACTGTTTGCAGGCTTACAGTACTAGGAAATTATTCCAGTTAAATTGAACAAATCAGCTGATCATATGAGGTACAAAGCTGCCTGACGTTTCTAACAGCAGGTCCAGTTTTGACTTAAAAGATAGTTGATAGACTTAATGAGAGTAAATATGGGACATACCTACTTCTGCCTCCATCGCAAAAGAAAGAACACATCTGGGCAGGTAACAGCACACCTGAGACATATGCAGCCTCAGGCTGTACTTATCAGTGTGAGAGATACAAAAAAAAGGCAAAGAGAGAAAGTGAGAAAGTGGGTGTGTGTAAGAGAGAACATTGCACAGGCATAACTCCCATAGGAGAGGGATTGGGAGGATTTTTTATCTTCACGTTTGCCACGTTGTACCAGAGCAAAGACAGCAGGTAAAATAAAATCAAATTCTAATTTTATTTGTCACTTACACAATCATACACAGCAAGACATGCAGTGAAATGCTTATTACTGTGCAATTCCAGACCAGTATAAATACAACTAGAGAGGGAAAATTTCAGAAGAAGTTTTAAGTGTGCCTATGCTGCTGCCAATGAGTGTAGTTTGCCATTCATACGACTACAGGAAGCAAAATGCACTAGAGCAGCTATTCTCCACCATGAACTATGGTAAAAACAAACACCGCTTGCGCCTCACAGATGACAGCTTACAGTCTTGTGTAAGGATGAAGTGACTTCGTACAGCCCCGATCTGCAGACGCTGTGGGCAGAGGTTCAGGAGCAGAAGTCCCATTGTACCACGGCAGACCCGACGATTTTTACATGAACACGATTTTTAGCATTTCTTTAATGACCACTTTTCACACACGGTTGCTGTACCCACACAGCCAGCTGTAGCTTTTCAAGTCACATCCCGGCACAGACCAACACAACAGCCGAGAGATCACAGACTTTAAGCTGGCGAGGCGTGATTGCAGATGTCGCTCAGGTGTGTCCGCCTTCCCTGCAGTGGCACTGCAGATCACGCTCTGCCACACACATCAAGCGTGTAAAATAAATATTTATCCTGATATTTTGTAAATATTTATTTTTCATTTTTTTAGCAGCATAGTGCTTTTTCCAAACATTTTTAAAATTCAGGTCAAGGCTGTGTAACTTCACAGATTTCAACTATCGCAGGGAAAATTTGGATTGTAACTCCTGCAATAAACAAAGGACCACTGTAAATAAAA